AAATTTGGTTCCTGTTTCTAGTAGATTTTTTTGAGGGGTCTTTACTAGGACTAATCATACTAGGAAAGGAAGGTCTTCCTATAAAAATGAAATCAGACTTTTCTGCTGGTAAAAATCTGATATTTTCAACTCCAAATGGATCAAAGACCTCTGAGTCAAAGCAGACACCCTGAAAACATTACAGGGAATAGGAGAAACCCTAGGTCTCCTTGACACAGGCCAAAATTTTCTTAATAGAGACCCAGAAACACAACAAATCAAAGAAAGGTTGGACAAATGAGACTGCATGAAGCTACAGAGCTTCTGCATGGCAAAGGACATAGCTAGCAAGATCAATAGAAAGCCCACGGATTGGGAGAAGATCTTCACTAGTCATACAACGGACAAGGGTCTCATATCTAAAATATACTTGGAACTCAAAAAATTAAATCCCCTAACAACAAATCCTCAAAGAAACAACTACCCGATAAATAAGTTGGCCAAAGACTTAAAGAGAAACTTCTCTGAAGAGGAAATAAGAACGGCCAATAGACATGCGAAGAAATGCTCAACTTCTCTAGCCATAAAAGAAATGCAAATCAAAACAACATTGAGATACCACCTCACCCCAGATTAAATGGCTATAATCAAGAACTCTAATAATAACAGATGCTGGAGGGGATGTGGCCAAAAGGGAACCCTACTGCATTGTTGGTAGAAATGTAAACTTGTTCAACCACAGTTCCCCTATGACCCAGCAATCCCACTTTTAGGCATTTACCTGAATGATCACAAACAAGACCACACTAAAGCTACCACCAGCACAACTATGTTTATTGCAGCATTATTTACCATAGCTAGGATATGGAACCAACCCAGATGCCCCTCAGTAGATGAATGGATCAAGAAAATGGGCAATATATATATATATATATATGAATTCTATGCCTCCATCAGTAAGAATGACACCACCCCATTTATTAGGAAATGGAAAGACTTGGAAAAAATTATTAAGTGAAATAATGCAGGCCCAAAGAAACATAGAACCCATGGTTTTCCTTATTTGCAATAACTAGTATATGTCTGAGACAAGCAGAAAAGGTCAAAAGTTATGTACATATAATCAGATAAGATGATGTTAAGCAAATGAAACCCATGATAGGGACACAAGTGGTTTTTTCTTTCTTGCTATTGTTTCTAATGTGTTTATAATGTACCATGTGATTTTTTTGTTGCTGTTGCTTTGTATGTTCTTCCCCATGGTAAAACCCCTGTTTTCACTGTATTGATGTTGGTATAATTTAGGGAAGGGAAGGGAAAAAACAAAATGTTTAAATAGGAATGCAGGTTGACCCATAGTAGCAATGAGATGCACAAGACAGTATTTAGGCCGGGTGGGGAGGGTGGGGGGGATGGAGGTGGGGTTGTGGATTATAGTTGTTGGGGTGGGAGGAAAGGGATGGTAGGGGAAAAACAAAGGAGGAGGCAACAATGCTTGATAGGAAATGTACTCATTACCTTGCTCATGTAATTGTAACCCCTCTGTACAGTATTTTCACAATAAAAAACTTATTTA